GCTAATAACTGCTGGCATCCCCCTTGGATTTTGCAAAATCTGACCAGGATATCCACAATTGCCAAGTTCAGCTAAAGCATGCTTTGTAGTCAGCAGATTGTTTTTTTTTTTTTTTTTTTTAAGATCCTGTAGGATTGTGGAAGACCTCAGGGGTGACTTCATTTTTTTTTTTTTTTTTATAGTAAGATCTGTTAGTTAACATATTCCCTGATTCATGAAAGTTTTTTTTTTTTTTTTTGGCACAAGTTCTGCCAGGTTGCTGTCTTTAAAGATATTGTCATTTTTTTTTTTTTTTTTTAGGGTATGAGTGAGTCAAAACGATACATCACCACTATCAGAATTTTTTTTTTTTTTTTTTAAGAACAAACTACTGCTACTAATAACAACATGCATGTATTTCAAATGAATTTTGCTGAATGACAGAAGCAAGACTAAGAAGGCACATGCATTTACATGACATAGAAAAGGAAAGATCAGTAGGTACCAGGATCTGGTGATAGGAGGATAGAGGGGGTTGATTGTTTTTTTTTTTTTTTTTAGTTGAGGCATGAGGGAAATATTCCGTATCTTGGTTATGGTAGTTTTTTTTTTTTTTTTTCTCAGCCTGTGGGTCACAGACTGGTACCAGCTGGTCTGTGGCGTATTAGGGATGGGGCCGCACAGCAGGAGGTGAGTAGTGGGACAGGCAAGCAAGCAAGTGAAGCTTCATCTGTATTTCCAGGCTTGCTCCCCATCACTCACATTACCATCTGAGCTCCACCTCCTGTCAGATCAGCAGCAGCATTAGATTCTCATAGGAATTTGAACCCTATTGTGAACTGCGCATGTGAGGGATCTAGGTTACCCACTCCTTATGAGAATCTAACGACTGACGATCTATCACTGTCTCCCATCACTCCCAGATGGGACTGCCTAGTTGCAGGAAAACAAGCTCAGGTCTCTTTTTTTTTTTTTTTTTTGGTGAGTTGTATAATTACTTCCTTATATATTACAATGTAATATTTTTTTTTTTTTTTTTCGCAATAAATGTAATGTGCTTGAATCATCCTGAAACCTCTCCCCACTCCAACCCAGTCAATGGAAAAATTGTCTTCCACAAAACCGGTCCCTGGTGCCAAAAATTTTTTTTTTTTTTTTTTTACATTATCACATGCATTTGTCAAAACTCCTGGAACTATGCACCAAAAAGGGCGAATTTTACTGTTTATAAATTATGCCTCAACCGTTCTTGCTTAGAAAAGCAAAACAGGCCGGGCACAGTGGCTCATGCCTGTAATCCCAGCACTTTGGGAGGCCAAAGCTTTTTTTTTTTTTTTTTAGGAGTTCGAGACCAGCCTGGCCAGCATGATGAAACCCCGTCTTTTTTTTTTTTTTTTTTAATTAGCTGGGCATGGTGGCATGCACCTGTAGTTTCAGCTACTTGGGACGCTGAGGCAGGAGAATTACTTAAACCCAGCAGGTGAAGGTTGCAGTGAGCCGAGTTTTTTTTTTTTTTTTTCAGCCTGGGTGACAGAGTAAGACTCCGTCTCAAAAAAAAAAAATTTTTTTTTTTTTTTTTAAGGGCTTACAACATTGATACAGGGGAGTATTTCCTGTGAATATTTTTTTTTTTTTTTTTCTGTATCTTCCTCTGAAATATTGATAGGTATCTTACGTATTTACTATGCATTTATGTTTACTTATTACAGTTTGGAAAGTCACATTTTTATCCCACAATGTATTTTTTTTTTTTTTTTTTCTCCTTATAAGTAGTAATTGCTTAAAAATTACTTAGGTTTTTATTTTTTTTTTTTTTTTTTGCATATGTTTCATATATCAATCAGGATACTTCTGGCCACAAGTTTTTTTTTTTTTTTTTTAAACAATAATGAAGTGTGTTGGTTTCATTCCTGTGGTTATGGTTTTTTTTTTTTTTTTTCTTAAGCCTCCACATACTCTCATTTTCTGGGAACCCCGAAAAGTTTTTTTTTTTTTTTTTCTCTGCCTTAAGGATAGGAAGCTACCTATTGCCAAAGCCTTCATTTTTTTTTTTTTTTTTTCTCATCTCCGGAACCAATCACTATGTACTTGGATTCTTACGCTTTTTTTTTTTTTTTTTTTTGATCTGGAAATAAGGTCTGTTTCCCTAGAGGAACTGACTGTATAGTAGTAATATATACACTAACCCAACCTGGATACTATTAAGAAATGAGGGGTGGGAAATATGCCAAGCTGGCAACCAACAGTGCCAATACTTTATCCCGAATTGTATTAAGTTAAACTTTTTTTTTTTTTTTTTGTGCAACTAGATGACTACATAGTTCTTATATCTGTGTTTCTGATTTTTTTTTTTTTTTTTACAGTATTACATTGCTTTACCTGAGGACTTCACCTAAAAATACCTCATTTCAATGCCACTGTAAGAAACAACACATTAACTTTATATATTAGAATGGATCTTGTTTTTTTTTTTTTTTTTATGAAGTAGATCTCATGAGGTGAACACAGTGAAGTATTCATAGAACTTAGTAGCATTTATACACAGTTTAAAATGTAGTATTTATACATAAGTTAGACACTGGTTTTTTTTTTTTTTTTTTCTACTTTGCTTCTAGAGTTTTACCTATACTTTATAATCTCCTACAGAGAAAGGGAGGGTATTTCAGCAAAGTAGTAGATAGAAAGTTTTCAATACAAAGATTTGCATATGAAACACAAAATGCCTTCTAATAGGACCAAGCCCAAGGGCTTTGAATAGTTGAAGAAGGCTCCATGGACAAGAATTGGAAATGCAACCATCAAAAGAAAAGTGTCTTAGACGCCTAGAGAGCTACAATAGCAAGAGCATATGCCAGGCAGAGGATGGAAAGAAGAAAGGTTTCTTTTTTTTTTTTTTTTTATTTGGATGGTAATCAAACATGCATTTGAGTGATGTGTTTGGATTTTTTTTTTTTTTTTTTGATAGAATGAGAAGGAAGTTTGAGGAAGTGAGTAGAGATCTGTTTTTTTTTTTTTTTTTACAGTATGGATTTTATCCTGTCAGTGAGGAGAAGACGAACGAATTTTTTTTTTTTTTTTTAAGTAGAATTATGTATGCAATGCAAAGTGTTTTGTTTTGTTTTTTTTTTTTTTTTTTTTTTTTTCACTTTAAGATAAATAACCCTAGAAAGTACTTGGAAGGATTTTTTTTTTTTTTTTTATGCCTGTAATCCCAGCACTTTGGGAGGCTGAGGGGGGGGGCATTTTTTTTTTTTTTTTTAGTTCGAGACCAGGCTGACCAACATGGAGAAACCCTGTCTCTATTTTTTTTTTTTTTTTTGCTGGGTGTAGTGGCTCATGCGTGTAATCCCAGCTACTTAGGAGGCTGAGGCAGGAGAATCACTTGAACCCAGGAGACGGGGGTTGCAGTGAGCCAAGATCACGCCATTGTGCTCTTGCTTGGGCAACAAGAAGAAAATTCTGTCTCAAAAAAAAAGAGAGAATTTTTTTTTTTTTTTTTACTTTGTTATATATTTTTCTCAGAGCAGAAATCTTAGCATATATTTTTTTTTTTTTTTTTCAAAACAATTGATAAAATACAAAAATAATAACATTCAGAGACATTTTTTTTTTTTTTTTTAAATACTGTTTCTTTTTAGTATTTATAAGGATTAATTCATTCTTGACAATGCTTTATAAATGTGGAACAAAGAAAAGTTTTAGAAAGATTTCTCATACAGCAATTTTTTTTTTTTTTTTTACAAAATATTGGAATCAGACCATTTGATAGCTATTGATTGGGCTGGGCTTGAGAAGAGATGAGCAAAACAGGGTGGCAGTGTTGACAGATTAAAGGATGAATGCTAAATTTAGACAAAGTATCATAAGTAGGACTTGGTAGCCGTTAGGATGCCATAATAGAGTTTTTTTTTTTTTTTTTGATTCCAAAGCCAGGTAACTGTACCATTACCAGGAGGAGAAAATTTTTTTTTTTTTTTTTGGTAGAGGTTTCTCAGAAAAGATGAATTTGGGCTTGTGTTGTCTTTTTTTTTTTTTTTTTATAAATGTCCAGCGATAGTTAGGTATGTGATTGCTACTCATTCTTTTTTTTTTTTTTTTTTATTGTATTGAATACCAATGTTTTTATTGAAGCATTGTAGTAGTTTTTTTTTTTTTTTTTGCTAGCAAGAAAAAAATGTTTCTGTCATCATGAAATTGGCAGGTTTTTTTTTTTTTTTTTAAGGGTTAAATAAATACATACTGAAGAAATAAAGTGGGATTTATTTTTTTTTTTTTTTTTCAGACAGGTGAGGGGGAGCGTAAATGAAACATGATTAACAATGTTTTTTTTTTTTTTTTTTCTTGATGGGCATGTGGGAGTTCACTTTACTATTTTCTGTATTATTTGATTGAAGTTTTTCTTTCTATTTTTTTTGAGATAGGGTCTTGCTCTGTCGCCCAGGCTAGAGTGCAGTGGCACAGTCATGGCTTACATGGCCTCAACCTCCTCCCATCTCCACCTCTTTTTTTTTTTTTTTTTTAGACATGCGCTACCACGCCTGTGCTCAAGTGATCCTCCCTCCTCTACCTCCCAGTGTGTTGGAATTATAGGCATGCGCCACTGCGGCTGGCCTAATAAAATATTTTTTTTTTTTTTTTTACTTAATGAATGTATAGAGCTGATAATCAGACAAGATGTCTGATTTTTTTTTTTTTTTTTGAGTAGCCTGAGAAAGATGGAAAAATGAAGAAAGAGTAATGCTTTTTTTTTTTTTTTTTTAAAGATTTCCAGGAAAAAGGTAGATACGATAGTGGTAACTGCTTTTTTTTTTTTTTTTTTAAACTATAGTTTAAATCCAACTGCTTACTAATTTCTAGTTTTGTTTTTTTTTTTTTTTTTATCTCTTGATGGCTGAAAGAACTGAGTAACTGAAAAGCTTGAGTTTTTTTTTTTTTTTTTATCATTTGAAGAGGTGTTTTTTACTTTAGAAATATTGTCCAAGTTTTTTTTTTTTTTTTTTGAATATCTGTTCAATTTTTAGGAGACTAATGAGCAAAAACTTTTTTTTTTTTTTTTTTTACTTTTGCTTACCGAAAGAGCTTATGTCAACCGACTTGACCTCTTTTTTTTTTTTTTTTTTTCTTTCGCAGAATTATTTGATATTTTGGCATTGTACATCATTTTAACCTAGTAATGAAAGTATTTTAGAAACTGCATGAAGGAAGGGCCTGTTTTTGACTAGTTTTTTTTTTTTTTTTTAGGAAATCTCCAGCACTTTCAGCTTGGTCAGGTACGGGCATTTTTTTTTTTTTTTTTTTTAGAGGTTTCTCTCTGTGTGAATCACAAAACGTGTTTATCAAGTTTTTTTTTTTTTTTTTTACTAGTCTGTTTCTTGACCTTTCATTGTCATCCTAAGAACCATTTTTTTTTTTTTTTTTTAGTAAGATATTGATGATTCTAATGCTAAGAATCATTAATTCTGTTTTTTTTTTTTTTTTTCTAGCATTATGCGAGTGATCTGAGCTGGTGTAGTCATAGGGCCTTTTTTTTTTTTTTTTTTTCACTTGTTCAACATTGTATGAAACAATTAATATAGTAGCTGTTTTTTTTTTTTTTTTTTGATATTGGTTTAATGTGTGAATCTACTTTATCGTGTTTTGTATTTTTTTTTTTTTTTTTTGAGTATCATTTCAAATATACACTTGGAAAGTCTAAGAACATATTATAAGAATAACTTTTGAAAACTAAGGCATCTTTTTTTGTGTTTTGGTTTTTTTGAGACTTTTTTTTTTTTTTTTTCCCAGGCTGTAGCGCAATGGCACGATCTTGGCTCACTGCAACCTCCGCCTCCCGGGTTCAAGCGATTCCCCTGCCTCAGCCCCCCGAGTAGCTGGAATTACAGGCATGCACCACCAGGCCTGGCTAATTTTTTGTATCTTTAGTAGAGATGGGGTTTCACCATTTTGGCCAGGCTGGTCTTAAACTCCTGACCTTGTGATCCTCCCACCTCGGCCTCTCAAAGTTTTTTTTTTTTTTTTTTGAGCCACCACCCCCGGCCACTAAGGCAATCTTAATCCTGTATTTTTTTTTTTTTTTTTTAATGGTTGATTGCCCATACAGACTCCTTGTTAGAAGGGAAAGCTTTTTTTTTTTTTTTTTACTTGTAAGAATTGTCCCATTTCTGCTGCTGGAAACTGGAATTTCATGGAAACAGGCAATCCTGTGCATACCTCCTTATCATTAGTTTCAGAAGTGAACTGCTTGCCTGCTAGGGTGAGCCGTGGGAAGCCATTTTAAGGCTTATGCTCTTTGAAAGAATGAGTTTTTTTTTTTTTTTTTCATTTTTAAAGGAATTTCATCATAAGCCAAAATCAAATAATGTTTTTTTTTTTTTTTTTTAACAACTCTCTTCCTTATGGGAATTACAGACCTGAAATTTTAGTTTTTTTTTTTTTTTTTGTATTTCTCTTCTCTTATCAAGTTATGTGGTTTTTTAAAGCCAAATAACTCATTAGCCACTGTTGCTGACCTTTTAGAATTCTAGAGTCCTAATTACTACAGTTTTTTTTTTTTTTTTTTCTCTAAGGACATAATTTTTTGTTCTTTTTGCCTCTCAAGAAAATACAGTGGAGGTGAATTTAGAAAATTAACAACCATCTGGATATTATGAAGGAATAGACCTTTTTTTTTTTTTTTTTTACAGAATGGCAATTAAGAGGTATAGTAAACTTAGTGAAGCATATTTTTTTTTTTTTTTTTGGGGGTTTTTTTTGTTGTTTTTTTGTCTTCAACGTACGTGTTGCTATGTGTAGGAAGAGACTTTTCCCCCTGCGTATCAGTGTTTTATGTTACTGTGCATTATTTTTTTTTTTTTTTTTTGTAAATATCTGAGAATTGAAATATTCCTTTGTCCATTCATTGGCCAGATATTATGCACTTGTTCTGTTGTGGGAACTAAATCATGATGTTCCCCTTTCCCAAGTTTTTTTTTTTTTTTTTAGGAAAAATGAGACTTACATCAGCAAACTACAATAAAGGGAAATTTTTTTTTTTTTTTTTAGTCTTTCAAAACATAAAGAGAAGTGAAAAATACCACAATTATTGTGTGTACATAAAGTGTTTTCACATTTCTTAACTCTGGCTTATGGATAGGAAGGGTAAATTTTTTTTTTTTTTTTTGGAAATTTTCTGGCACAGAAAAGGTGAATTATTCACCATAATATTTTTTTTTTTTTTTTTATAGCCTAGATTAGAATCAAAACTTCCTGATTCTTATTCCTGATTTTTTTTTTTTTTTTTATATACTCCTAAATTTCAAAGGATTTTCTTGAACCGTAAACTTTTTTTTTTTTTTTTTTTAAAGTTACTAAGAGCCCACTATGTGCCTAGCACAGTGCTAGGTTTTTTTTTTTTTTTTTTGAAGTAATGCTTACATTATTCTTTTATTCAGGTATTTTATTGCTTTTTTTTTTTTTTTTTAAACCGAGGCTCGTTTCCAGCAGAGATGGTGAATAAAATCTTTTTTTTTTTTTTTTTTTTAAATGCCTTCCATAGTAAATTCCTCTTGCCAGAGCTGGAGAAATTTTTTTTTTTTTTTTTAGAGGAGTAGATAGAAAATGATATGTTTAAGGCAGTCATATAATTTTTTTTTTTTTTTTTCTTTTAAATTGAAATAGAAATGCCACACACAACTGTAACTAGATTTTTTTTTTTTTTTTTTACATTGAAGACTACTGATAGAAGTTGTGGTACAAAGGACTTCTTTTTTTTTTTTTTTTTTATCATTTGGCTAGTGAAGACAAGATATCGGGTCATGTGGAGCTTCAAGAATTCCAGAACATCTCTCTTTGCTATGACATTCCTATAGTCCCTTTAAAAAGGTTTTTTTTTTTTTTTTTTCAGCTTCATAGTACGGTGAATGAGATAAAGCACAGAGTGTATGTAGAATGTGATGACTTCCTCTCTAGTCCTGTCAGTTCACTCATTCTATAAAAAATCTTAATGTGCCGGGCGTGGTAGCTCATGCCTGTAATCCCAGCACTTTAGGAGGCCAAGGCAGGTGAATCACTTAAGCCCAGGAGTTCAAGACCAGCCTGGGCAACATGGTGAAACTCTGTCTCTACAAAAAATACAAAAAACTAGCCAGGCGTGGTGGCACGTGCCTGTAGTCCCAGCTACTGAGTTTTTTTTTTTTTTTTTATTGATTGAACCTGGGAGGTCGAGGTCGCACTGAGCTGTGATCTTTTTTTTTTTTTTTTTGACAGAAAGAGACCCTGTTTCAAAAAAAAAAAATTTTTTTTAATGACTTGTTTTTCTATATTTGATACAGGGAAACTACTCCTAGAATTGGAGACATCCTTCATTTTTTTTTTTTTTTTTTTAAGATGTATGGAGAATATGTGAAAGGATTTGATAACGCAATTTTTTTTTTTTTTTTTTTGACAGAACGTATTCCCCAATTCAAATCAGTGGTTGAAGAAATTTTTTTTTTTTTTTTTTTTCATTCAAAGCTATAAATTACTATTGCCATACAAATTATACATTTTTTTTTTTTTTTTTCTGAGATCTAGAGATCTGAGACACCTAGCCAAAATTCATACTATTTTTTTTTTTTTTTTTTCATCTCTGCAAAGCTGAAATGGACATCAATCACATGCTGTATTTTTTTTTTTTTTTTTTCCATTTGCTTTTGAGACCAGCAGAGGATGATTTTTATTAGGGTTTTTTTTTTTTTTTTTTATGAGTTCACATTCAGGTCTGTGCCTCTCTTGCATTATTTCAGTTTTTTTTTTTTTTTTTGGAATATAAAGAATGATTGCTGTAAAACTTGAGATTTGGGAAACTAATCATTCTTTTTTTGTCACTTGATATCTGTATCCTCATTTTCTTCTGTGTCACCAAATTTTTTTTTTTTTTTTTAATAATACTGTAATAATTTCCACTTGATTCTCTAGCCGAAATTTTTTTTTTTTTTTTTTTTGATATAGTTGATATTGAAGAGGCATATTTTAGATCATCTAAGATTCTTGGCGTGGGACTTCTTTTGCTCCTTGACTGTCTTATTTTGTGTCATAGGAATTTTTTTTTTTTTTTTTTTTTAATTCCTCTAATTGTCAACGATTTTTTGAGTTATTTTCCAGTGTTTTTTTTTTTTTTTTTAGTATGCATCTTAATTTTTCACAATGTACTTCAGATTATACTCTTTTTTTTTTTTTTTTTATGTAGACACTTAGTTCCAATATAGCTCTGTTCCCTCCTCTATGCTCTGTACTGTTAGTGTCCTGTATATTACGTTTTTTGTATGTTGTGAGTCTATAATACATTTTTTTTTTTTTTTTTGAAGGATATGAGAAAAAATGTATCTATAAGTCTATTTTATACTTTTTTTTTTTTTTTTTTTTTCTAGAGTAACTTTCTTTCAGCATACATGATTGTTGTTTCTTATAAAGTAGGCCAGCTAGCAATGAATTCTGTCAGTCTTTTTGTCTGGGACTACACTTATTTTTTTTTTTTTTTTTTATGAATGAAGAATGAAGTGCTAGATTCAGAATTCCTAGTATATGGGTTTTTCCTTTTTTATTTTCTATTTTGCTTCTATAATTTGTGTGTGTTTGTTTGTTTTTTTTTTTTTTTTTTTTTCTCTGTTGCCCAGGCATGAGTGCAGTGGCGCGATCTAGGCTCATTTTTTTTTTTTTTTTTCGGGTTTGCTTACGCCATTCTCCTGCCTCAGCCTATAGCTGGGGCTACAGGCGCCTGCCACAACATCCAGCTAATTTTTTGTATTTTTAGTAGAGACGGGGTTTCACCGTGTTAGCCAGGATGATCTCGATCTCCTAACCTCGTGATTCGCCCACCTCAACCTCCCAAAGTGCTAGGATTACAGGGGTGAGCCTCCACGCCCAGTCTTTGTTTCTATAATAATTTTTTTTTTTTTTTTTTTTATTATTATTTTAGAGATAAGGTCTTGCTCTTGTCACCCAGGTTTTTTTTTTTTTTTTTAATCACAGCTCACTGCAGCCTTCAACACCTGGGCTCAAGCAATTTTTTTTTTTTTTTTTTTCAGGTAGCTGGGACTACAGGCATGCACCACCACCCTGGCTAATTTTTTTTTTTTTTTTTAGAGACAAGATCTGGCTCTGTTGCCCAGGCTGGTCTTAAACACCTAGACTCAGCCTCCCAGAGTGCTGGGATTACAAGCATGAGCCACTACACTCAACCAGTATATGGGGTCCCCGCCAGCACTTTGAATATGTCGTTCTCCTGCTTTCCATCCTCTGTGGTTTGAGATGAGAAGCCAGCCATTGATTGTATTGATATTCCCATGTATGTGATGAGTCACTTTTTTTTTTTTTTTTTTTTGATTTTCTCTGTGTTTTGGCTTTCAACAGTTTAAATATGATGTGTCTGGGTGTGGACCTTTTTGTATTTGTCCTAGTTAGGGTTGGTTGAACTTTTTGCATTTTTTTTTTTTTTTTTTTTTAAATCATTTTCAGAAGTTTTCAGCCATTATTTCTTCAAATATTTTTTTTTTTTTTTTTTTTCTCTTTTTTTTTAATCTTTTTACTCCCATTACACAAATTTTATGGGTTCCTTTTGTTTGTTTTGGATATGGTGTCTTGCTATGTTGCCTAGGCTGGCTTCAAACTCCTGGGTTCAAGTGATCCTCCCAATCTCTCTTCTATTATTCAGATTGTATAATTTCTTTTTTTTTTTTTTTTTGTTCCCTGATTCTTCTGTCATCTCAACTCTGCTGTTGAGCCTATTTTTTTTTTTTTTTTTCAATTATTATATTTTTTCACATCCACAACCACAACTTCTGGCTTTTTTTTTTTTTTTTTTTCACCCCTCGCTCACCTCAGGAATCTTCACTTCTACTGATGTTGTTGGGTGTGTGTGTTCCCCACCATTCCAAATTGAATGAGCCCTTTTCAGCCTCAGCAGATTTTTTTTTTTTTTTTTCAGCCCATGCCACCCTGACGCCCCCTTCCTAGTGACTGAGCTGGGAGAGGGACAGGAGCAGCTGCAGGCTAGCATGCCACAGATTCTCACCGTTCTTACCCAATTTTTTTTTTTTTTTTTAGCGTAAACAGATTTCAGATTGTTGCATGCCTTTTAATCAATTTTTTTTTTTTTTTTTTTGTTTTGTCAATTTTATCTAACTTTATAGCTGCTTTAATTTTTTTTTTTTTTTTTTTTTTTATAGAATCTCGCTCTGTCGCCCCAGGCTGGAGTGCAGTGGTATGATCTCAGCTCACTGCAACCTCTGCCTCCTGGGTTCAAGCGATTCTTGTGCCTCAGCTTCCTGAGTAGCTGGGATTACAGGTGTGTGCCACTACACCTGGCTAATTTTTGTACTTTTAGTTTTTTTTTTTTTTTTTTATGTTGGCCAGGCTGGTCTCAAACTCCTGGCCTCAAATGATCCTTTTTTTTTTTTTTTTTAAAGTGCTGAGATTACAGGCATGAGCCACTGCACCTGGCCTATTTTTTTTTTTTTTTTTTGAAGATTTGCCAGTCTCTTCATTCAGCTGTAGCCAAAAAGCCTTTTTTTTTTTTTTTTTTCCTTTTTTTTTTTTTTTTTTAACCTTCTTTTCTTTTGTAATTATTTTTTTTTTTTTTTTTCTGGGCTCCTTTGATTTTTACTAGCTTCTTTTGCTAATTCTGATTTTTTTTTTTTTTTTTAAGTTTGCCTTCTACAATCTTTCTTTTCATGCTTTTCAGTGATTTTTTTTTTTTTTTTTTCTTTAACTATCTTGCCAGATAGGTTCCTCTAGGGTTGCTGTTTCTAGTCTAGTTCTCTACTCCCAAACTCCAGGTACAAATAGCTGAGCATGTGAACATCTTGTTTTTTTTTTTTTTTTTACATTTTATCCTATTTTTAGCTCCCAAGCATTTTTCTATCTGACTTTTTAGGCCTTGTGTAGAGTAGATAATTATTCTGATATGTATTGGATTTATTAGGTGATTTTTTTTTTTTTTTTTTTACCAGAGCTTGACAACTTAGCTTTATCTTTGATTTGTTACATTTTTTTTTTTTTTTTTTGTGTTCATTTGCCTGTGAAATAATGTATTCCAATTGCTTAGCATAGTGCTTGTTGCATGGTAAGTGCTCACTAAATGATAGTGGTGATGGTAGTGATAGTGGTTTTTTTTTTTTTTTTTTCCTCTGAATTCTGTCTCTACAATGTCTGTCTTCTCCATATTATTTTTTTTTTTTTTTTTTTATGAAAAGAGTGGTAGATTGGGAATCAACTAACCTAGTTTATTTTTTTTTTTTTTTTTCTTACAGTCACTTGACCTTAGAAAGCCACAGTTTCTTCATATATTTTTTTTTTTTTTTTTAATACTTTCCTTGATGTACATAATAGATTTTGGGAAAATCAAATGACATATTTAAATTTATATAATTAATATCTTAAACTTTATTAAGGAAAGCTATTATTCTTTTTTTTTTTTTTTTTTTTTCAGGCCCTTATTATTTTCTTCCTGGTCTGTCGTAACAACTTCCAAACTAGTTTCCCCCGTCCCCCTAAAGCTACGCTGTAGTAGATTAATCTAATAGAGCTCAGATCTAATGATACAACTGTCATGCACAAAAATCTACATTAGATGAAACAAGTCTAAATTTTTTTTTTTTTTTTTACCTCATATTACCTTTACTTTACATCTTCTATTTCCCTCTACTTATCTTTTTTGCCAAGAAAACCTCTCTGTCCCTTTCACTGAACATACTTCATGCTTCATTTTTTTTTTTTTTTTTTTTCCTGGACTTGCTCCCTGGTCTGTCTTTTTCTCCAAAACCTGCTTTTTTTTTTTTTTTTTTTAAATGTTCCCTTCTCTGTGAAGCCTTTAGTTACTTGTTTGCTTTTTTTTTTTTTTTTTTGTCTTAAGATAGCTTTGATGCCTTGCAGTGTCCTGATCATGGTTTTTTTTTTTTTTTTTTTTTAATGGGATTTCTGCTTTGTTTAACAGGAACAAGAACATTTTTTTTTTTTTTTTTTTTTTTGTTAACAGCTTCTTGGAAGCAAGTGATACAGACTTAATTTTTTTTTTTTTTTTTTTGTTCTATTTACAGAAATTGGTTTCTAATGAAAAAGAATGCTTTTTTTTTTTTTTTTTTTTAAATTTTCTGACAGATAAGATGCCCAGATCTTGTTATTCTTCTTTTTTTTTTTTTTTTTTAGTTCAAAGGCAATGACATTTATCATAGCCTTATTATGAAATATTTTTTTTTTTTTTTTTAGTCATTTAATACAGTTGTTCTTAGCAAACCTCATTAAACAGGTTTTTTTTTTTTTTTTTCTCTATAGAATGATTTAATGATGTGACTTCACAAACCCTTGTATTTTTTTTTTTTTTTTTTTGTCAGCAATCTGGAATTTTCTTGCTTAAAATTCTGCTTGATTTTTTTTTTTTTTTTTTTCTCACACCAGATTGGTAGTTCTCAACTTCAGTGTTATAGAAATTTTTTTTTTTTTTTTTTGCATATTCTGTAGCTGGGAATGGTGGCACATGCCTATAGCTACTTGGAAGGCTGAGGTGGGAGGACCACTTGGGCCCAGGAGGGAGAGGTTGCAGTGAGATCTTTTTTTTTTTTTTTTTGGCAACAGAGTGAGACTCCATCTCAAAAAAAGAAGAAAAAAATTTTTTTTTTTTTTTTTTTTCCCCAAAGATTGTGATGTTATAGATGGAAGTGGGGTTCAGATTTTTTTTTTTTTTTTTTTAATTTTTAAAAATTTTTTTATTTTTTATTTATTTATTTATTTTTTTTTTTTTTTTTTTGCTCTGTTGCCCAGGCTGGAGTGCAGTGGCCAGATCTCAGCTCTTTTTTTTTTTTTTTTTCTGGGTTTATGCCATTCTCCTGTCTCAGCCTCCCGAGTAACTGTTTTTTTTTTTTTTTTTCACCTCGCCCGGCTAGTTTTTTGTATTTTTTAGTAGAGACAGGGTTTCACCGTGTTAGCCAGGATGGTCTCGATCTCCTGACCTCGTGATCCACCCGTTACCGCCTCCCAAAGTGCTGGGATTACAGGCTTGAGCCACCGCGCCTGGCCATTTTTTTTTATTTTTTTGAGATGGAGTCTCACTCTTCACCCAGGCTAAGTGACATGATCTTGGCTCACTGAAATTTTTTTTTTTTTTTTTCAAGCAATTCTCCTGCCTCAGCCTCAGCCTCAGCCTCCGCATATTTTTTTTTTTTTTTTTGTGCCACCATGCCTGGCTAATTTTTGTATTTTTAGTAGAGGCGTTTTTTTTTTTTTTTTTCCAGGCTGGTCTCAAACCCTCACCTCAGGTGATCTACCCATCTTTTTTTTTTTTTTTTTTGGGATTACAGGTGTGAGACACTGTGCCCGGCCAGAAATCTGCATTTTTTTTTTTTTTTTTACAACTTTGTCAAAAAATATTGTCCTTGACGAAAGTTCTGTTTTTTTTTTTTTTTTTTTTCTTGCTAACCTAATTTTTAAATGTTTCTTAGAAAACCTTTCTCTTTTTTTTTTTTTTTTTTCTGTGGGAGCTTAACTTTGCAGCATCACATGCTAGAACCTGTTTTTTTTTTTTTTTTTTATGAGATGCTCCTTAAGGACTATCTAAGGAAATTGCCTCCTGATTTTTTTTTTTTTTTTTATGCTAAAAGTAAATGCTTTTTTTGTTTTCTATTATGGAATAATTTTTTTTTTTTTTTTTCTTATGGTTTCAAAGGGAAATATATCTCACAGCTACTTTAGTCAAATGTTGCTGTTAGAAGATAATTTCATTGGAAATTGTTATCATCACCTCAGTTAGGCAATTTTTTTTTTTTTTTTTATGACAAGTTTAGAGCCGTGCAAATCACATTTATTTTTCTGGTTTTTTTTTTTTTTTTTTCTCTGAAATATAAAATTATAGACTTAAAGACATCTAGAATAGCAATACACAATTTCCTTGTCAGAGGAAGAATACAACCATTCAGAATTACAAGTGCTGCTGTTTTTTTTTTTTTTTTTTTACATACCAAGAAAGCTAAGGTGACATTCACTATGTAAAAATATTTTTTTTTTTTTTTTTTCCACCTGCCCTAACATGCCTACCATAACAGGAAATGGTGCCTTTTTTTTTTTTTTTTTTTTTTCTCCAAGAAAACTTTATTTCAATTCTGTTAGATGTCTTATTTTTTTTTTTTTTTTTAATGAAAGGGTTTTTTTTAAAGGCTTATAAGTTTCAATAATACTTTTTTTTTTTTTTTTTTTTTGTGAATCAACTGTAAAGGCATGAATGAAAATTTAAGAAATTTTTTTTTTTTTTTTTTCAACAAGCAGTAATGGTACTTGTGTACAACCTTAAAACATTGTTTTTTTTTTTTTTTTTTTCTTGTTTTCTGTCATAAGTGAACCTTGATGAGAGATGAAGTTTTTTTTTTTTTTTTTTTCTTGGATCTTTAACCTTTTCTTTATCATTATTATTATTATTATTTTTTTTTTTTTTTTTTTGAGACAGAGTCTCACTCTGTTGCCCAGGCTAGAGTGCAGTGTTTTTTTTTTTTTTTTTTGAACCCCCACCTCCCGAGTTCAAGCCATTCAGCTAATTGTTGTTTTTTTTTTTTTTTTTGGTTTTCACCATGTTGGCCAGGCTGGTCTTAAACTCCTGACTTTTTTTTTTTTTTTTTTTTCGGCCTCCCAAAGTGCTGGGATTACAGGCATGAGCCACTGCTTTTTTTTTTTTTTTTTTGTCTTTTCTAGAACACAGGCTGTCTCAGATGTGTTTCTCCCACTTTTTTTTTTTTTTTTTACAGAAACTTCTCTTCTCCATTCGCCCCTTCCATAGTGTAGAATTTTTTTTTTTTTTTTTCTCCTCAAACCAACTACTTCCTGGGAACTCTGCCCTATCTCCACTTCCATCCATCTTGCCTGACTGCTTGATTTGAGTGGCAGATCTAGTGGTGGGGGTGGGGTTTTTTTTTTTTTTTTTCTTCCTCGAACTCATCTCTAGAGCAGTGGCTTTATCCCATCTTTTTTTTTTTTTTTTTTTCCTGGATCCTGTATCAAGTGCACAGCATGGCCCACATCAGAATTTTTTTTTTTTTTTTTTATTAAAATTCAGTGTCTTCTATACTCAGACTTTGGTATCCCCTTAGATGCCCATGTCAAAAATGAAAAAGTTGGTGACATGGTATGGCATTTTATTCCTTTTCTTTTTTTTTTTTTTTTTACTTATACTAAAATTCTAAAGAGATCACAGAAGAAGGGCTTCTTTTTTTTTTTTTTTTTTAGCGAAAGCAGCAAAAGTGCATTCTGTCCAGCAGTGCACAGAATTTTTTTTTTTTTTTTTAAAAGTCTCAGGGTTGTTGTGGTAACAGAATTAGGCAGGCCAGTTTTTTTTTTTTTTTTTAGAAAGGAAGAAAACGGGACGTGATTTAGGATTGAGAGGTTTTTTTTTTTTTTTTTTTTTCAAGAGGTCTCAGCATCCACAGCACTTCACCAGCAGCCCCTGAAGCTCCTATGATGTCCACACCAAAGAGTTCCCATTCCCAGCTGCCACAGCAACAAAACCCTCCAACACTGGCCTCAGAAGATTCCCTTTCACCCGACCCAGGCTAGAATTGTGAATGTATTTTTTTTTTTTTTTTTTGCTATGCTTAGTGGTTAATTTGCTCATACAACTAGTAAAACACTTTTTTTTTTTTTTTTTTTTTAGAACTTTTGAGTCAGAAACCTGGGTTTAAATCTGGCCCTTTTTTTTTTTTTTTTTGTGACCTCAGCCAAGTTGTATTACTTCCCCATTTCATTCATCTTTTTTTTTTTTTTTTTTTACTTAATGGTTTAAGGCTGTGTAAGAATTGATACTGTAAGTATTTTTTTTTTTTTTTTTTATGGAGTTAGTGTACGCTGTAAGTTTCAAAGTCTTTGAGTATAGAAGAAACTGAATTTTTGTTTACATTTTGGAGAACTATTCTGATTTGGGCAATTCTGTGCACTCAATACAGGATCCAGGATAGGGGGAGACAAAATAAGTTGGGCTGGGACCACAGCTCTTTTTTTTTTTTTTTTTAAAGCAGCGATGTTTCTATCTCTGCTTATTAATTTTGATGGTTTTTTTTTTTTTTTTTTTACCTGTGAGCCTAATCATCATGTGTGACTTTTCATAAGGAAATACAAAGTTTCAAGTAATCTGCTTACAAATGAACTTTAGAAAGTATACCGTTTATAAATGGTTTTTTTTTTTTTTTTTGTTGTATCTTTGGTCTCAGACTTCTTAATTTAGTAAGTTATTCTTTTTTTTTTTTTTTTTGAAAGGACAAAGCATATTTATTTACTTTTCTTTTTGTCCCATTTTTTTTTTTTTTTTTTTATATCTACAGCAGCAAGCCATTCTAATAGTGCAATAAGAAAAATGGTAAGTGGTTTTCGGAGGAGACAGGAGCCTTCTGATTAGACAATTATCAATAATACTGCCTCAATACTATGTAGATTTGGACCAAAGTGAATTGAAATAGATGAACCAAAAAGAATGTTTTTTTTTTTTTTTTTTTTATCTGGAATAACTCTCTGAACTTGCTAATAACTGATGGAATTTTTTTTTTTTTTTTTTCTTACTCCTAATCCCTTCTGAATTTACATTTTAGTTAAGGTCATTTTTTTTTTTTTTTTTCTAGGTTGAAACTTGCCTGTATGTGATCTTGCTGTTTTAATTTTTTTTTTTTTTTTTTTTAAACTCTTAGAGATTTATGAAATGTTGGGAGAAGAAGAAGACATTTTTTTTTTTTTTTTTGAACTAATAAAAGAAGGACAGATCCTCAAACTAGCTGCTCGGAACACATCAGCACAAGAACGCTACCTTTTCTTAGTGAGTATTATAGTGTTACAAGTCATATTTTTTTTTTTTTTTTTTCGTGGTGGCTCACGCCTGTAATCCCAGCACTTTGGGAAGCTGATTTTTTTTTTTTTTTTTGTTAGGAGATCGAGACCATCCTGGCTAACACAGGGAACCCTGTTTTTTTTTTTTTTTTTTAAATTAGCCAGGCATGGTGGCGGGCGCCTGTAGTCCCAGCTACTTTTTTTTTTTTTTTTTGAGAATGGCGTGAACCCGTGGTGAACAGTGATGCCGAGATGGCACCACTGCACTCCAGCCTGGGCAACAGAGTGAGACTCCATCTCAAAAAAAAAGAACTATATTTTTTTTTTTTTTTTTGCACGGTGGCTCATGCTTGTAATCCCAGCACTTTGGGAGGCCGAGGCAAGTGGATCGCCTGAGGTCAGGAGTTTGAGACCAGTCTACTAAAAATACAAAAATTAGCTGAGTGTGGTGGCAGGTGCCTGTAATCCCAACTACTCAAGAGGACGAGGCAGGAGAATTGCTTGGACCTGGGAAGTGGAGGTTGTAGTGAGCTGAGATCAACAGAGCGAGACTCCATTTTTTTTTTTTTTTTTTATATAAAAATAGTTGTATACAGCGTGGAAAAGTAGAATGTTTCTTTTTTTTTTTTTTTTTTTATATCTAACCTGTTTTAGTCAACATTCCATTTAGGGGATATTTTTTTTTTTTTTTTTTTTTAGGGAAATATTCTAAGTAACGTATTTTTCTGTAATTTTTCTTTTTTTTTTTTTTTTTTGGCCAGCAGTAGTGGCCCATCTGGAGCAGTGCTGCAATGATGTTTTTTTTTTTTTTTTTGGCATGGCCACGGCAGCTACCCAGTTGCAGCTGCTGACCCAGGCATTCCTGGGAAGCCCCCTGTACCCCTGCAGGCTCAGAAATGCCTGCTCCCACTGCCTGGCCTCTCCCCGCTCCCAATGCCCATTCCGATTTCAGAGCAAATTCAGGGTCAAGCCTGGGTTTTTTTTTTTTTTTTTTGGGTGTGCACACACTGGGGACAGTGCTGATATGCCAGCCCCCTGGTGTCTCAGCCTCTTCTAGACTTTGGGTGCCAATGAGCATGGGAGGGAAGCCAAGGGGGTGCTGAGGGTGGCTTGGTGTGGCCCTACATGTTCCCCAGTGCCAGCAGTGGAAGCCGCTTTTTTTTTTTTTTTTTTTGCCATAGCTTTGCAGGGAGCCGGCACCCATGCTGGTGCCTGGAAATGCTCCCCTTGCTGTAGCCGGCATGCCTGGCTGTGCGCATGACCCAGAGCCCGTGCTCGCTCATTCACGTACCCCTTGCTGCTCCAGGCTTGCCCTTGGCAGGTGTGGGATCTGGGCTTTTTTTTTTTTTTTTTTGCAGCCTGCCAGGCCAAATGGGCAGAATGAGCCCAGCAGGCCCAAGCAGATCTCAGGCAAAGGAGCCACTGGCCACAAAGGTTTACGGCTGACAAAGCAACACCCCAAGGATCCTTTGATGGTATAATTTACTTCAGTAGCACATACTGACAACAATTTAACTTTTTTTTTTTTTTTTTTGATACTTTTGGAAATGCTCCTTTTGCTTGTTTCAGATTTTCTCTTTTTTTTTTTTTTTTTTGGGTACCATTTCCTGGATATTTTGTTGGTGTGTCATTTCCTGTTTTTTTTTTTTTTTTTAATCCTCTGTAGTCACTATTTTTAATCTTTCTAGGCTAAAAATTTTTTTTTTTTTTTTTTTAAGACTTATGTCTAAAATATCTATGGGAAAAGTACATGAGTTTTTTTTTTTTTTTTTTTTCACTGCAGTCAGTCCTTGGCCCTTTCTTCACTTCCTGGAAATGACAGTCTGAGGCTTATCTCAAATATAAGAGCACTTCCTGGGGCATCCAGACCATTTTTTTTTTTTTTTTTTTTTTTACCTGACCTTTACTCTTTGTTATCCTAATGAATTTCAGTTCCTTTTTTTTTTTTTTTTTTTGATAATAAGAATCATAATAATAATATGCATTGACAAAGAATATTTTTTTTTTTTTTTTTAGCTTAATAAACGTTAGCTTTCATTCTGATTGTTATTAAAGAGAAACAGACACATGGGTGAAAAGGCTGCCTGGTGACTGGCATACAGTGCATTCTTACGATGTTTTTTTTTTTTTTTTTTTCTGCTGCGAGGCAGTCATCTCACCCACCATGGCATGAGTTGTCATGGGGGCTTAGAGACTTCTGTGTCTGTTTCCAGTCTCCACTGAAAGGAAAACTTAGGTTTTTTTTTTTTTTTTTAGGGGTGTTCAGTACAAGGGGTCTTGACAAAGTTCATGGAAAATTTTTTTTTTTTTTTTTCTATGCATAGATTTCAAAGCATTTTGCAACAAAATAAACCCACTTTTTTTTTTTTTTTTTTGTCCGAACAGTATCTGGTTTGAGGCACTAAGAAGGGTAAGACATCAGTTTGAGACCAGGCACAGTGGCTCATACGTCTAATACCAGCACTTTGGGAATTCGAGACAGGAAGATGGCTTGAGCTTAGGAGTTCAACACCAGCCTGGGCAACATACAGAGACCTCCCTGTCTCTACAGAAAATTTAAAAATTAGCTGGGCATGGTAGCTTGCACCTGTAGTCGTAGCTACTTGAGAGGCTGAGGCAGGAGGATCTCTTGAGCCAAAGAGTTCCAAGGCTGCACTGAGCTATGACCATGCTACCCAGCCTGGGTGACAGAGTGAGACCCTGTCTCAGAAAAATAAATAAATAAAAAATAAAGACATCAGGTTGAATCAAAGCAACATGAATTCTGTTAAAGTTGAAGCAAGAACCAACAATCAAACTTACGGTGAAGCTTGGATGCAAAAAATGACAAAATCATTTTTTTTTTTTTTTTTTTTAATGGAGACGGTGCCACAAAGAAATCAGCAGTTTACAAATGGTTTTTTTTTTTTTTTTTGGGTCAAGACATTGTTGAAGATGAAACCTGCAGCAGCAGACCATTTTTTTTTTTTTTTTTGGAAAAAATTCATCTCGTTCCTGCCCTAATTGAAGAGGACTGACAGTGAACAGCGGAAGCAGTAGCCAATACCACAGACATCTCAGTGGGGTTCATCTTGCACTTTTTTTTTTTTTTTTTTAAAGTTGAGCAACTTTCCACTCAATGGGTACCAAAAATGTTGCACCCAGATCAGCTGCAGACAAGAGCAGAAGTTTTGGTGGAAATCTTAAATAAGTGGCATCAAGCTTCTAAAGCATTTCTACAACAAATTGTAACAGGAGATGAAACATGACTTTCCCAGTTTTTTTTTTTTTTTTTAATACAATCAGAACAATGGTTACCAACAGGTAGAAGTGGTCCATTTTTTTTTTTTTTTTTCCAGTCAGGAGCAAAGGTCGTGGCAAGTGTTTTTTTGGGATGCTTTTTTTTTTTTTTTTTCTGACTTTCTCGAGGGCCAAAGAACAATAACATCTGCTTATTATTTTTTTTTTTTTTTTTAGCTAGCAAAAGAGTTTCGCAGAAAAACACCCAGGAAAGCTTCTTTTTTTTTTTTTTTTTAACCATGACAATGTTCTTGCTCATTATTCTCATCAAACAAGTGCAATTTTTTTAGAGTTTTGGCAGAGAATCATTAAGTGTACAGCTTACAGTCCTGGTTTGGTGGCTCTGACTTCTTTTTGTTTCCTAATCTTAAAGCATCTGTAAAGGACACCCATTTTCTTCAGTTAATAGTGTAAAAACTACTGCATTGCCATGGTAAAATTCTCAGGACCCTCAGTTCTTTAGGATGGATTAAATGACTGCTATCATTGATTACAAAATTGAACTTGGTAGAGCTTAGTTTTTTTTTTTTTTTTTTCTTTTAATTCCATTTTTCCACAAACTTTTAAAAGTCTTTTTGTTTTTTTTTTTTTTTTTAAAGAATTTGGTCGCTATATGACCCACTAGTTCTACTCCAAGTTTTTTTTTTTTTTTTTTATTGAAAACGTGTGTCTGCACAAAAACCAGTACATCTTTGTCCATAACAGCATTATTCATAGTAGCCAAAAAATTTGAGACAACCTAAATGTCCATCAACTGATTTTTTTTTTTTTTTTTGGTATGTTCATGTAATGAAATAGTATATGTCGAGAAAAAGGAATTTTTTTTTTTTTTTTTTACATGGATTAACCTTAAAATGTTGTATCAAGTGGAAGATGCCTTTTTTTTTTTTTTTTTTACAGTATTTATATGAAATGTCCAGAAAAAGCAAATGCATAGATTTTTTTTTTTTTTTTTGGTTCCCTAATACTAGCAAGGAATGGAAAATGGATACGAGGTTCCCTTTTAGAGACGTAAAATGTTCTGTTACAGATATCCTAAAAACCATGATTTGTACATTTTTTTTTTTTTTTTTTTATGGTATGTGAATATCTTCATAATTTAAAAATGTGTATTTTTATTTTTTTTTTTTTTTTTGTTCTCATTTGTGCTCAACAGAAGTACTTCTTTCACAGGTAATATAGAGAGCTAGATAGAAAACAAGGATGTGTCATGTTAGGGTTCAGAGTCCTCTTCAGAGTTTTTTTTTTTTTTTTTAGATGATTGCCACCGGAAAGGCAAATCGGGGTGGGGTGGGGGTTTTTTTTTTTTTTTTTTAAAGCAGTGGGAAAGCACCAGCATCAGGAGGCAGAGGAGCAAGTTTTTTTTTTTTTTTTTAGCCTTTATTGTGGTTTCTGCAGGAAGGAATGGGCAAGACAGATTTTTTTTTTTTTTTTTGGCTAGTTGGAATAATTTCTTTAGGGCTTAGGGGCCGGGCTTATTTTTTTTTTTTTTTTTCCTGAGGTGACTGGGGCAGGAGAATAGTGGCCCAGAGAGTAAGTTTTTTTTTTTTTTTTTGACTGCAGGTATGAGTTCTGAATTGGTTGATTTCCACATGAAATTTTTTTTTTTTTTTTTAGGAATTGGATAACCCTGGGAGGGGCAGTCCTGTCAGTGTCAATTTTTTTTTTTTTTTTTTAAAATCAAAAATACATAAATAAAAAGACATGCTT